CCCAGATCAATATAAATAATCATGTATGTAGTGTGTGAGGTATCCAACCAACAAGTAAACCACTAGACCAAAGTAGTCATTTATTTAATATAGTTGAATGATATCTACAAAAGCTTGTACTAAACTTTACTGTACTTTTTTAACTAGCCACATTTATAGCTATGTTTAAATGCAATTTTTAGTAAATACGTATTTTTTGTAAACGTATATAATAGACGTAGATATTCATATCAATACCAGCATTTATATTATGTGTTAATAGAAACTGAATCCAACGGAAATTAATATTTTACAAAGATATAAAAGTAGTCAAGTGATAATAAAAAATACTGTGGCACAATGCTACATATTTCCGGCTCCACTTGCTCGAAATATATCGCAGTAGCAAGCGTGAAATGGCGACTTGACAACATAAATCGCACAAACAAAGGACACATTATCCACCAAGCATTTAGCAGTTTCAAGCTACATAGTGCCTTTAATTTGTTGACTAAGTTACTGTCGTTTATACAAGAAACTCTATTCCTTTTTAACGTTGTATAGGAAGATCTAGATAGTAAATGTAATTTCCTATAATATATTTGCAAACAAAGACCGTTAAATCAGATTATTTACAGAACACCATTCAGGCCTCTTTTCCATTTATTTGAAAACTTATTCATCACATCGGTACTGAGGAATAGGTAAATGGTAAGTAAAAATATTTTTCTCTTTGCACAACTCATTTGTTTGTTTTTATTTTTATCACAGTTGTGTTTTTTTTATTTACAAATTTTAGCGGGATTTTACAATTCACCCTGGTATTTTGTAACAACTCTAGAGTTTATATATTTACTATATTATTCGTTAATGACCAGCAAATATAGCTTCACTTAAAAGTTTATATATGCCGCATAAGTAAGATATCTAATTTCTGTTGCGTTCTAGACATATTTATAATTCACATAAGCCTCGTCTTTGTATTAAAATTTTGTTTAACACTGGTATAAACCTTATTATGTAAGTAGGTACTTTAATATTCGCAGTATATTCATTTGCATGAGGAGACGACTTCCGTAGGAGTTCTTTGAGCTTACTGCCTGTTCAGTACGGCGCCTTAATCGGAGCGGGATTTCTTAAGTTTTTGTTTACAGCAAAATCTTTTTGTTATTCTTTTGCAGGACCAATTAATAGAAATAATGAAGCGTATGGATTACTGTCATTTCCTAGTTACGATTTCGTTTGTAAAATATTTTTTGTGCTGATAATATAAATAGCGATGGATTTCCCTTTTGTTAAATAAGTACATCAAATAATTTCGGTTTTTATTATTAATTGTCTCTTAAATTAAAGCTTAATTTTAATAATAATATTAAAAAACGCGAAAGTTTTTAAGTATGGATGTTTGTTGCTTTTTCATGCAAAAACTACTGAACGGATTTTGTTGAAACTTTGCTGTAATATAGCTTATGCATCAGAATAACACATACACTATATTTTATATTGAAAGTTAACGCGGATGAAACCGTGGAGCACAGGTAGTACGACATAAATAAATTAACTGAGTTATTATTAAAATTTAAATTCTTTATGATTAGAATTCTATAAAGTTCTACCGCATACTATGTAGCCTGAACGGCATTGTCAAAATATACATTACTATGTGACGCTTGTGGCGTCGTTCGCGTTAACATTGAATGAGGAGTAATGTGTCATGCGTCCGTACTCTATAATGTCACTGCTTCATCTAATGCTTCAAACCGAAAAGCCCACGCAGACGAATTTGTAGAAAGTCTATCTCACATCCATAATTAAAATTAACGTTGAATACAACCGGTCTTTTGTTGCAAGAATAAACACAGAGAGCAAGCGTATATAGACTGCCTTAAATGTTGTTAGTGTTTTATATGTATAGAAACGGTTTCGTTTACAACCAAAAAGGTATAATAAAATATTTGCCTCTATGTTTAACTCTGTATTCTTTTGTACACAGTATTTTAATATATACTTATGTATAATTTGAAATATGTTAAAAATTGTCAAAATATGTGAAATCAAAAACCTGATACCGAAATACAAACCTACCCATCTGATATTTTAAAGTATCTACTTCAATATTTGTATCAAAGTACCTATTTAATAAAATAATGAAAGTAAAAACACACACAAAACTGTTCATTGTTTTTTAAATATAGAATCGGAAGAAGATTTTTCACCTAATTTTCAAAAACTTCTAAAGTGTAATAGAAAACACGTAGACCGACACAAACAATTATATTTTACACAATATGTTTGTGCCGTGAGAGGCATCGAACCTGCGACCATAGGAAGTAAAGCGGTGTGCTAAACTACTACACCACCGAGGCCGTCAAATGGAAAAATTAAAATAAATGGTTCTCAATGAAGTTAAAAAAGCTGTACCTACCTAATTAGATACAGTTATACTGTGAGCGAAACCCGACCAGTTGACTGTAATTAGTCATCGTAAGTTTGTTAATCCATAATCTCACTGTTATTCTTATCTATTGCTAATGGCAGAAAGACTGTCCGTTTTATTTATTCATTAAAGGATTACAGCATTAATCTATCTAATCTAGTTTGTACATGGATAGGTAGTATACGGGTTTTTGTTCTATAAAAGCAATAAATAAATAGATACTTTATATAACTCCACAACCGTTTAGATACCAGAGTTTATTTAATAAACGAAATGAAATTTATGTTCATTATGAGCTTAGAATACAGCATATTGTGTATACAAACACGAAATTCACTAGATGTATGTTAAACAACAATAAACAAATGAAGACATCACTATGTTTACCGAATAATACCAACTATGTTTACTCACGTAAAATGTTTACCTATGTATCTATCTATAGGTAATTATACTTCAAAAGTCTGGATATAGGTAGCTAAGTATTATTAAGTGTTAAGAATAATATTTTATGAGTTTAAATATTGATAAGCTCTTAAAAACTTGTTAAAACAATTTAATAGAATTAATTTTATGTAGTAATAATTTTAATAAATACAGGAGGATAAATTTTTGTAGAAACCTAATTTTCTTTCTTAAAAACTAGATAGGCTCTTCCGAAGACGACATGATAATTAATAATAATATTAATGTCCTTAATGAAAGGTAGATAAGGAAATTGTAATTTTTAATTAGTTTACCTAATTGCTATAGACGCAAAGAATGAGGTAAAATGTGAAATGATGTAAATTTGTCTAGGTCACGCCTTTGATTAATCTTCTGTGTTGCAGATATAAAATATAGTTGTATTTTAACAATTATATCTTCTGCAAAACGTATTAATATTAGGAAAAGTACGAGTAGGTACAGTGATTATTTTGGGTTATGTATGTGTGTGTTAGGTTTTATTATGTATGAAGCAGACAGTCCCTACAAATAAGGCAGACTAATGAGTCATTCCATCACATGCATGTTCGTGGCACAGAATCCTGGTATTTTTTACGTGTATGTATTCATCTGCATTAGGAGATGTGTACTTTCAACGAACTGGCAGAGGAAAGAAATTCTAAATTACACACACATTGCTTTTTATAGTGTTCTCCGCGAAAATTGAACGGATTTAGACGATCCCCTTTGAAGTCCCACAGTGTTGGCCCTGTTTCAATTTTATCCGGATTCGTCTTTTTGTTTAAGAATAGGTAATATCGATACATCACAAATTTGTTATTATATATATATACATATATTTTTAAATATGGCTTACTTAACACTAAATCATCTTTTTTTGTAGGAGCTGTTGTAACAGCTCCTACAAAAACCCTACCTGTCAGTATACATATGTGTACTGACAGGTATGGGTATCATATCAACTACATTTACCGGAAGTAGACTTTATAAAATATGATAATAGAATCAAGTATTACTGAAATAGTTTACATCTTATGAATATTTTGCAACTCCACAAATACCTACCCTACGCATTTCGTTGAGGCAAATTTACGTTTTTTTACTTTAGCAGACTGATATTTGTCATACTATTCACGTACTATTCAGCTACCTCGGATATTAATTCCATTAAGCAGTACCTTTGGAATTTACAGCTTCTCTTTCAAACTGATTGCCCTTTTGAATATCTCTATAGAGAGTAATAAATCATAACTTCATTTGAAATGCGCTAATTATGTAATGGATTAATAGTTGGATTTTTATTCTTAATACCTATTTATATTTTCAAAACGTTTCTCTTTATATAATTTCATCTATTTATTTTGCATATAATTATCTAGATAATTCCTGAAAAGGTAACAGATAGGCACATTTCAATTTTTAAAACATTAGAATGTGTACATAGCCTAAGTCTAAACTTAGTTATTATAATAAGATTTTTTTATGGAGAAAAAGAGACTTAATTAATAAGTCCGAGAATTGGAATATTCAACATAATTTGAAAAAATCAATATTAGAGTGTACTTGTTTAATCTGCGAATATTAGTCCAAAATAAATTAATTAAACATAACATGAATACAGAATCAGAAATTGAATTAAAATTTCAGATATTAATCAAATCGTATGTAAACAATTAGAATGCAATCAGAACATATGTAAACAAAATTAACCCAAGATGCTGGAGGCAATACTGAAGTTTGACGAAGCTTATTAATTCATAGTAATCTCTATTTCTTACCTTAACGACTGAACTGAATGAAATTTGGTGTTAAGATAGATTATGTCGCGAGAAGAGACATGGCTGAATTTTATCTTAAAAAAGTAGACGTAGTCGCGGATAACAGCTAGTATTAAAAATATGAAAGTTGGCCTGTCTGTCTTTGACCCATATTACGAATATAGACTACATTTTATCTCCAAAATGTAATGGAATTCGCTCGTAGCATTTAGTTTTGTATACGTGGCGGTTCAAATATATGTACTATATCCATATAAAACTTCAGGACATGTTTAATTATAAGTTTCATAATATTATGGCGGGAACGCCTCAGTTAAGAAGTATACACAAAGTAATTTTATTTACGACAGTAATCTTACCGTCATCACGCATAACGGCGTCACGTAGAGCAATCCGAAGTTGACCATGTCGAAAAGTTCCGAGTTGTATTTTCGACGGTGCGATATACAGATGGTCTCCATACGACCGTTGCCGAGGTTGTTTGGGATCGTCTCCACCCATATAAACTTCGGAGCACTGTATGCAGCACTCGTTATCCATACACCGAGAATCACGAGCTGCAACAAAATAATTTATTGAAGCACGAACATTTTTACAGAATTTTGTGAAAGTACGTCTGTTTGTTTGTTACCCTTTTACGACTTAATGACTGAATTAATCTTCTAGAAATTTTATATGAATAGTGTAAGGCCATACTTATGTTGATACATAGAATACATTTAATCTCCAAAAAGTAGAATAAAGTCGAAGTCGCGAGAAAATGCACATATTATAATTAAAGAAAATTTAATAAGAATAACAACCTAGGACAATTCACATAGTCCCATGCTAAGCAGACTTTGATACAGATATATATATTTTTTTGTAAATACATGCATAACTTTAATTACAAAAGTAACCTAGAGTAATACAAACAATCATACTCATAATGACAATGTTTGTATCGAACGAGGAATGAAACCTGCGACCATCGTAGTAAGGCGGTGTGCTAAACCGCTAGACCACCGAGGTCATTTACAGCTAGTATACATACATATATATCATTATTTTCTTAGACTACGTTACGTAGGTAGCTCTTAGGTATGCCGTGTGGTTTTTTCAGCGTGTACGAATCCCACACACCCCGTCACCCACACACTGCTCCGGCAGGGTAATGGTCTTTTAAAGATTTTTCCACACGATAAAAAAGATTACACAATATTGTAAATATATTTGGAAAATACTGTTGTAATATATATTTATCTATAACTTTGTCGGATTTTTTGAGATGTAGTTATATTTTATAATCCCGATGGCCTATATCCATCCTTGCGATGACATGTATCTTCTCGTTGCTTATATTCATCCATATAGTCATAAATTTTTAGCAAACATCAAACAGATGTACAGTCAAATGCATTATTGAATTTATGATATTCGTGTGCATAAATACATTTTCATTTGTATTAAAAATATTGTAAAGATAAATAATGTAGAAAAAAAATCTTTTGCGTTTCAATTTATGGTGTGTTCGTGCGGGATCTTTTTAAAAATACTGACTACATTATTTCGCTGGATGGCTATGCTAATGTGCTTGTATATGGACCTTACGGAGCGAATATTTCCACAGAATAAATGTAAAATAATTTAAGAAGAACTCGTATTTACGCAACTTGTTGCTTTCTGTATTTTCGCTATTTTTATTTACATAGAGAACGGGGCAGGGCTTTGATGCTGTCCTAACATATGTATCTTCAGATAGTATATGTTAGAACAGAAAAATCCGACTTTAATTGGGCCAAAACAACTATGTGTGGTCAAACCTAATATTAATTGCAAAACATAATTATAAAGTTGCTCTTGCTAAGAAAATTGACTTCAATGCATAATTAAGTATTATTCTAAAACTAGTACACAGATCGAAAAAAGAATTATCAAAATCAGTTTACGTAAAAAACGTTCTAAAATAACGTACAATACCTAAAAAATCTGTCGAATTGAGAAGATCCTCCTTTTTAGAAGTCAGTCGAGAATCAGTGACCAATTAGCGAAGATATAAGTAACACATATTAATAAAATGTGTGAAATCGAGAACAACCTCCATTTAGAAGCTATAGATAGATAAATGACTTTGCATGTGATTGTAGTACAAATACATTGGTAGCCGTATATGTACCTATATTAGACGGCACAGTTTCAAGTAAAAAGAAGTTCACGTAAAACACAGATCGGGTGCTGAGAAAGAAGTCAATATTAACTAGAATTCGCATTATAAAACTAAAATTGTATAAATATTTATATTATATAATTATATAATATCTATATTTATAAATAAATTATATAATATCTATATTTATAAGTATAACAGTTAGCTCTCGAATATCTGTCTTAAAAAGCTATAGTCAATAAATATCAAAATTGGATGTCATTGGCATTAATTAACATTGTAATAAAGTCATATATTTATACACTTTCGTTTTATAATACACTCGATACAGCGAAGAATAATCAATTTACATGAATTAATACAAAGGAGTAGAACCTTTGGGTGGAGTAGGTAAAGATAAGAAATAAGAAACCAGTTAACAATCGACTCTCGCTTGTATTACAACTAACTCTCCAGGGACAGAAAACGGTAAATAAATTCAAGAGAATTCAGTACCTAAACTCAGCACCTTCCTTTGATATAAATAATATAAATCTTGACCACTTTGCATTTTAAGTTTACAGCCTTTGTATGTGTGCTTCCAAACGAATTAACTGATGTAAATGCGGTTTCTTTTGTCTAAAAGCTGTTTTAATCAGGATTATTTAAGGTATACTTGACGGAAATCAACCAGTGCTAGACGAGGGGTTGGGGTTTTTAAATTATTGATATAATTTACTTTATAGTATATACAGATGTAATTACATTATTAATAATTTATTACAGTTCTTTTATTTTAAAGAATATATGTATTGCAAAATACACAGTACATACGATATTATAACAGTTAGGTATCTGATTAAATTAATAAGAGATAAATACCATGTATATATCGATAGTACTATACTTGCCAAAAATGTTTATTGTACTTATTTTAGATTATTTCACAATAACGAAATACGTACCTACATACTTGTGGTACGTATTTCGTTAATGTGTCTTAATTATGTACACTGCGAGATCGGATATACATATCTGATATATGGATATGCATGCTTAGAATTGACAATTCTTGCCATTTTTCCATCGTGATCAAGGTCGTTACTACCTAACCAATTTTCATCTAAACCTTCTTTCAAATGAAATCACACAAATCACTCAGTCTGTTAAAATACTGCGATTAATCTTAATAACTGAATTAGAAAACAAATTTCATTAACAAAAAATTGGAGGTCTAGATTTGAATATTAATCTATATTATTTGTTTACTACCTTAGTGGTTTAACAGTCTATTGCACCGCCTTACTTTCGATGGTTGCAGGTTCAATTCCTCGCGCAATACAATAATATCTTATATACTTATTTAGGAATATATTACTACAAAAAATATTTTAATGATATATTTATTGTATTTTGCTTGCCATAATAAATATTTAGTAGAGTAATTTATCTATATATTAATACGTGAAGCAAAAACTTTGTACCCCATATTATTTAATGTGAGAGAATTATCCATATTGTATTTTAGTGAAAGACGACTACTACTTACAGTGCTCATTTCAGAATATATAAGGAAAAGTATCTCAGGATTGATTTTCGAAGAAACTACGTCATTTATCGTAAATGAGAAGGACATGCATAAGGTTGACTAAAAGATATTGCTTCGCCTTTTGTTAAGAAAATTCTTACAAAATGTTCCTTTGTGCTTTTGTTTGCATTAGTATAAATTTGTATTATAAATATAAAAAAATATATATAAGAGAATTCACTAACTACCATATAGTAATTTTAAGTAGCTTGATCGTAGACGAGTAGAATGAGTAGTCGCTCACTAAAATGTCCAGACATGTGGCGGCGTGGTTGGCCGGGTCATCGGGCTCCCTAAAATATGGTCGAGCGCAGTGATGCTTGGCTCATCCGTCATACTCGTGAACGAGTGCTGCTTGTAAGGACTGGTCTGATCTTATCGTGTATTGTGTATCGTGTATCTTATTGTGTATTTATATTTGATCTTAATAAGTTAGTGCTAGTGGTTTGTATTCACACGTTTTGACTTGTAATTGTAAACTTACAAGGAAATAATCCTTGTAAGTTTACATTTACAAGTTTACAAAAACATTCACACAAGTTTCTTGCTCATTCTTCTTGTGATGAGACAGCTTTCCGAATGAGCGGTTGACTAAAAAAAAATGTTATGACTATTCAAAAGTGCTTAAATTAAGTCTATTTAAATAAAGGATTTTCTATTCACGCAAATTGGACACTTTTGAACAATTCGTATTATTTTTATTCGTATAGCGTTCTGTAAACAGACATTTATGATAAATCCATCGTCAGTTCGGCGCATACATACTCGTATATAGTTTGAAAAGAGAAAACTTAGTATACAATTTTGGTGAATACTTAGTAATATTACGTTATTAAATGACCGTTATTAGACAAAAATAATTGAATCTTCAGACCTCAAGCAGCACCTATTCACTAGTATGACGTATATGCTAGCCATCATTATACTTAACTATATTACAAAGAGCTCAATGACACAAAACAATATAGGGCCTTACAACTACTTCATGAAAGAGTTTTATCACGAACACCATTTCATTCGGTTAAGATTTTTTTTCTTTTTATATGCTTAAATTCATTTTTACTACTCTAAACAATTTTTATTATTTGAGTTTGATAAAGCAATATTATAACTGGGTCGATTATCGATTGAATATGTGTCCTTGTAATTACGAAATAGTCTCTGTTTAAGAAAATATCTAATAAATATCAAATATTGTGTGACATATAATAAAGCAAACAACTTTAAATCAGAGGCAACCAAAACGCTTAGACCCTAGAAAATTACATAAACATTCATTTGTTTCTGTCTGATGAATTTAGTCCTTATTTATCAGGTGCACGGCTTATAACTTAGATTCTAACAATAGAAGCTAATAGAATATTCTTCATTTATTAATAGTTCTATAGAAAATAATATTTGTTAACTATTAGTAATATAATATTGTTTCATATTGCTATAAATACGAAACAATATTCTAAGAAATCAAAGTAATTATGAAAACTATTGCATCATTAATCTCAATTGAGTGATGTTTACAATAAGAAGTTGTAATTGTATCTAAACATTGATTTCTTGTTATTGTAAATGTGCCCTACTCTTTTTATATTGCTATTTTTGTTTTCATATGTCACTTGCTTTTCGAATACAGTCTTTGCCGTTTGCGTCCATCCTTTTTTATATACTTATGTAAAACTATTACATACAGTCCTTAGAAACCATTAATTAATAACAAGTAAGGAGTAAGTAACATATCATAAAATTTAATAAATTTGTTTTAATAAATATTTTGGAAGTTCAAATAGATGATAATAGGCTATCGTATCTTTTCAAGTACATGATAATCTGCTGTCGTAGTGCCTTTCCTGTATATAGGCGACGGTTACGACTTACCATCAGATGGACCATCACCTCTATAAAAAAACCAGTCGAATCGAGTTATCACAATATTTAATTTTTCAATATTTACAAGAAGCTGGGAACGAAATACTTTCAAAACATCTTACCCTGAGCCTTGTGGATGTAAGGATTTGCTTGCAAGTTATGGGATGTATTATGGCGAAATATCTCTCGGTACAAATAACAACCAGTATGAAGATCGACGCCGTGTAACTCAACGAGTGAACGAACTGGTACATCTTGCAAAGAAAGTCTCCAAATACCCAACTGAAAACAAAAATATTGATTAAAACAATTATATTATAGCGCTAATACAGATGCGTATATTTAAATGCAAATATATATTATGTCTTTGGTGGTATCGCGGTTTGGAAGTATGTAAATTCGCCCGTAAATATCCTGATTTATACAAAAAAATTAGAAGTAGTAGTATTACAACGTAGATATTACACATAATTATTCTGTATGATTACAAAACAGATTAATGCTTCCAGATTCCAAACTTAGTTTACACTCATCTAGACCTCTGGCAATGTCAATAAAAATATTATTATAATAAACTACCGTAACATTTAAAAAGTATAAAAAAAGATAAAATTTTTACACATAACTTAAAAAAAGTACTTATAAACAAATGTTCTTGTAATGTCAGTTATTCACTGATATTATAATAACATGATAGATAACTTACGAATGATAAAATCTGTATATTTTATATATGTACACATAAATCAGAAAAATAATATACAAAATAATCAAAATCTGTTAAAGCCACTGTATCTCATTGTAGGTTGCTGCGCTCATCGGGGTTCATAGTGCTCTTATAATAATTTTATGTCAATCTTTAATGTAACACTGTGGAATGTAATAAATAAATAAACAGACACACTGCGGGATGAGATTTTTATTTATTTGGTCGATCTTCAAGGGAATTTACCACTATATGGATATGTAAATGATATGCTATGATAAGGATAGCATCCTTAAATACTAATATGTATTACAGATGTGGAAATTAATGGGTATGAGAATGGATGTTTGTTCCTGTTTCTCGCAAAATCTAATGAATTCGAATGATAATTATTGTACATGTATAATTACATCGTAGATTATATTGATACATTTTATCTATCTATATCACACAGGTAGCCCCGCGAAATACAGCTAGTCGTAAATTTTTATTTACAATATTACCTAACTGTAGTTGCGGTATATATGTGTATAAACTTCTCGAGTATGTTATTTGCGGTGAATTATATGTAATGTAATTATTGGAGTAATACTGTAGTTATTTAGTCAAATTGATTAATAATTGTGCCTATTAATTATGTTTCTACAGTAAGTACTTAATCCAGTTTAACCATTGATTATCTGAGGACTTAGGAATAGGTATATCATGTACATTTATCTTAAAATTATAAACAGTAATATTAGATTAAACATTTTATTCTCTAAAAACGACATGCATCGTGATATATTAGTAGTTAGTAATAAAAATGCAGTATTGTCGAAGATAACTCCTAACTTGCTTATAAAATGTGAACTATTTAGTATAAATAGTATAGAAAAACTCTATTTGGGTTTAGTTGAAAAATATATTGAAATTTTAGTAAAGTAAGTTAGTAAATAAAACACTAAAGTGTTTTTATTTCTAATATTGACGTTCTGTCATCAAATATTCCTTTCAAAGTATTTTTATGCTTTATAAAAATACGGAAAGTTACATACAAGTCTAAAATGTAAATAAATTGTTTCTACTCTTTACTATCTGTATGTGTATATGATGTTAATATTCGTTTTTACAATTTCAAAATAAAAAAAAACTCTGTTTACGTTGATATGTAGATTTCAAAGTATACGAGTACATCTGGCTGGTGTTGAACTCTTGATTGATTGCTGTCAAAACCACATGATATGGGTGCATGGAAAAAGGGACCAAATTCAGATTTACTTGGTATAAAAATAAAAAAATAGAATAGACAGCCTCGGTGGTCTAGTGGTTTAGCACACCGCTTTACTATCCCATGGTCGTGGGTTCGATTCCTCGCACGGTACAAACATTTATATTAGGTCTGGGTTCTTTCTATGCATAATATGTATTTATTTAAAAAAAAAATATATCCATGTATTTATATCAGTTGTCTAGTACCCATAACACAAGCTATGCTTAGCTTGGGACTAGATGACGCTGTGTAAATAGTCAAAAACAATATATAGCTATTTACCCTCGCGGAATGGAGAATATATCATTCGAATTTTAGGAAATACTGTTTTAGTGAAAGCCTTAATAAAAGATTAATAATATTACTTTATAAAAGAAAAAACCTAATCTTTAAATCTTTTCTCCTAGCCGTTGTGACTACAGCCGTGACAAAAGTTTACAATCTGAATAAGATTGTAAACTTTTGTCACGTATCAGACGGTGAGTTTTATTTAATACAGTTTTATTTTTTTGTATTCATGGTCTTCGCCAATTCCACTAAAGCTTACATACATGCGTAATTTCCCTAAAGGCCTGTCATATGAAAATAATTAAACATGTTGTACTGAGGTGTTGTATTGTAGGGACACAGTTAGATTTTAATATTTCTCTGAATGTTAAAAAAATACCTTGGTTAACTGGCCTATTCAAGGGTAGCCTAAGTAACTAGTATTAGTACTTATTGTGACTATAGGTTTAAGATATTTTAAGAGACGGGCATTCAATACGAAAGAATTTAACAGAATGCGCTACTGTCAAATAATTTATTAACGCCATTGAATGTTAATTGAGTTGGTTTCCCTTAAAAGCACTTCTAATCGACGTCACTAAAATAAACAGAGAGGAACAATTTGAATTTGTCAAATTTCAATTACGGTGAAAAATAGAAGTTTTGAAGATGTACAATTTATATAATGTCTACATATAACAAAGTTGGAAACATGAGTAGGTGTCTGTTATATCAGTAGGTGTTAAGGCAATTAATTTACCAATTTACTGAATTCCATCCTGTTTTTCCCGTCACAACTTTCTTTTGTCATAATAGTAAATCTTAAATATTGATAATGAAGCCTATAATGAATAATAATAATTTGCATTTATTAAAATATTATTAATACTAAATTAATTTGTATTTAATTCACAGAATAGTATACTTTACATATGGATATATATTCGAGTACCATGGAGTCTTGGCAAATACATTTATAAAAAGAGTAAATACGATAAAAGATATTGCATTAGAACATCGAGAATTAGTGTCTCATAATTTAGTAGTTATCTAAATGTAGATACAGCTTCCGTTGTAAATTACAACAATAAAACAAAACGTTGTTTTTAAACAATCCATTCATGTCAAATAAGCAATCCACCGTTACGGTGTCCCTCTTGGTGCATTTTTATCATTCTTTCTAATAAATGATTGATGGGATGTCTCCCTGTTTTCAGAGTAATATATTCGACCCCTATTATTTGCTTTCAAGGGTCATATACACATGAGGAACACATATAGGTAATATTTTATTTCTCGTATATAGGAAAAAATAATAAGCAATAAAGACCCTGTGTACTTATGAGAGTAAAATGAATAACAAAACCAGAAGTGATCCCTTCTACGTAACCTTTAGATGTAGTTTGAATATGATAGTAGGAAAAGCAATAAATGTACGAGTATCTATCCGACATAATGATCAATCGAATATGAATAAAAATATATACAACTTATAATTTCAACAATAGAAAAGAAAAAAACAATATTAAGTATTGAAATGTATATTATTATTGGTATTAGACTTAATTTACAACGCCTTCAGGTCAAGTGCCTCAAAATTCAGAAATAAATACAATAAAATCATAAAAATAAAAACTCAATTAATTGATCAATTAACAAACAAAATGTTTTATATATTAGCTACTACTTAAATTATAATAGTTACTTTTTTTAAGTAATTAAGTAATTCGGTACACGATGATTGTGTTGAAATAAAAACTGCTTTTTTACTCGTAGTTGAAAATAAATATCCAATAAATATAAAGGAAGTGGAAGTTATTAGCATAAAAATAGAGAGCAAATGTAATATTTCGCTGAAAATGTAGGTACAATCTTTACTGCTAGGAAACCTATTTATGGGGGATATGCCAAAGGCCATTTTCGATAAAAAATACAGCTATTATGATAATGAATGTTCCGTTTATGTTATGATATAGTATGTCGTAGTTGTAGACGATTTATGTGACTCAAAGCGATATCATTTATTTTATTATTTCTTTTCAATTAGGCAGTTGCTTATCTTGATAGACAAGTTAGAGTAGCAAGATTTTCTTATTTTCTTGTTGGTTTTAGTTGTTTTCATAGACACTTGTACACATAAAGGTTTACAATGTCCGCAACGTCACTTTAATCTTATTAATTTTCCGTTTGAATCTTGTTGCACACAGTAATGTGTGTGTGTGAAGATGTAAATTCATAAATTACCAATAATTATTATCTAATTAATTGGAAATTTAACTATCAACATAATAACCTACTTTATCTTCAACTGAAACTGTACTTAATTGGAACCCAATTAGACCTATGTAATACTTAGGTTCTATATAAATCTTGCTCTATATTTTAAGGATTTCTGATAAATTTGTTTTAATCCGATATCGGCCATTAATCAAAATAATAGATCAGATCTATTAATCTAATGGAATGAACAAGATTTTTGCAATAAGACCTAACTGGTTTAATTGCTCTAATTATATTCGTAAATACTTAAATACGTCCCTAATACATAAAAATACAGCTAACGAAGAAATTTATATAGGTATATATGTACTAACTAAAAAGTGGGTGTATAATTCAATCTAATGTAAATAATATAATAATGTTACGAATAAGGACTGTTATTGTGTACTTGTAACTTCGTAATCTATTCTTTGAAACAAGATCAAAAACCTTAAAGTCAAGAGCTGCCAAATCTTATGTTTAACATTTAGCATAGCTTAATACCTAGTATTCTGAGAGGTTATTCAACATTACTGTTATCCACAGACTTCAAAAGGAGATTGTTTCATTACGACAGTCTTCTTCTATGAAACAATATTTCTAGGAAAAGCATAGAAATAAATTTATTTCACAAAAATCGACTTTATTTGTGATAGAATTACGTAGTAGATATGTGGTACCTACTTGAGAATAAACTAGTTTTTTAATGGATTCTAAGAAACCTTGTGAAAAACTAAGAAATTAAATAAATTAAAAAAAATCAGTTATGGGACTTTATGTATTCATATCGAAGTCTGTGTTACCTGTCAATTTACAAAATTATTCGATATTTGTGATTTATTATTTACAAGTCTCTTCAGCTAAAATGTTAATCATGCAATTGAGTTTATACATAATAAATTATCACAAACTTTTTGTAATATGATGATAATAATGTATTTCTAAACTTCGAAAATAATATAAAGTAGTAAAAAACATTTTTCTTTTTCTTTTTAACTAGTTATTCAGAAATATTAGTATTTTTACTTTTGTACTTATATAATAAATAATGTAAACATTGTTACATTCGAGTAAGAAGGCTTTTAAAAGTTGTCCCCATATTTCAACCCATATCACGTGGAGAAAGTTGCTCAGTTTCCCTTTTCTGTAGAGAATACTATAAAAGAAAAAATGCTTAACAAAAGAGGTTTTTGACGCTTTTGTAATGTAGGTAGGGCTGATGCAGCGGGTTATTGGAATAATAAGGCTTGAGGGATATAAAGATTTAACGCTTCGCGATTCAATCTTCTCTATTTCCTTATCTTGTCGTGCCTTAAACTTAAGCACCCATTACTTTGGCCTGGACTTTATCGCTGTGTTTAAAAAATGTTTATTTAAAAGAGGAATACTGGTTTATAGTCCTACACTGTTTATCCGTCCCTCTGTCTTACAATACAATTTCGACAACTACTAATAAAATGGATTTAAAATATATTAAAACATTTTAACGTTAGTGTTACATTAATATTGTATTGCTTTATTTTCGCATTTTGTAACAAATATGAATGAAATACCTACAAAACGCTTTTACGCACATATGCACGGAGTGTGTGAATCATTTTTTTTTAAATACAATGTATATAAATGTATTGAAATATTAAGTTTCGTGTTATAAGCTTTTCTGGAGAAATACACAAAGAATATATATTAGGTACTCTAATACATTTTTTGGTTAATACTGCCAAACTATAATAGTTAACATTTAATATATGAAGTTTCACTGAAATATTATATCTATATTAAACGTTAACTATTATATCGTGTCTTCCACTATACATCAGACAAGTGCTTTTCCACTGCTATATATCTAACCATAAGCGAAATTTATCGCATAAAATGTTCATTGTAATATTATACTCAAAACTCAAATTAAGTCTACCAAGCCGGATGTTGATCATGTTAAAATAGATTCCATTATTGGATACTAAATTATATATATTTAACCTAATTTCAATTACACTCACCTCGGTATAAGATAAATCGTCAAATTTTGGAAGACGCAGAACACACCCACACATAAATCTGCCACAGCCAGATTTGCCAGAAAGAAATTGGTTATTGACCGTAGCCTCCTTGAAAGTGTTACAACTAAAATCACAAGCAGGTTACCTGAAAAAAAAATAACACATATATAATAGTTCCTAATATATTGCTTTCGCTATTTGGCTTTAATAAACGAAGACAACGTTTATTAAAGACAGTAGTAGACAGATAGTACAGTTTTCAGACAAACAAACAGAGGAAAGACTAGCCGTAAGCCGAGTCTTTACTCTTTCCCACTTATGCTTAATGGTGGTAAAATTATAGTATAGTAGGTAGTAAAATTATAGCCTATGACATGTATTTGCATATATAATCATTATATCAATCCACATATATAATATTACTTTCCAATCAATGGATTTAAAATCTATATTTTGCTTTGCAATATGTACGAACCCACTGTAAATGCATACCACATTTCATGTGAATTTTACTTGCAGAAAAATAAAGTGAAATGGACGAATATTCAGAAGCTCAACACAGTTCCTGTAAGTACTAACTGCTACATCTAATTACAGTCTACCCAAGTAAATGGTAATTCTAAACTTGGAAGCGTTTCATTTGCGGAGAATGAAGCAATAAGATTTAAGAATTAGGCGTTAATGGTTATTGTTCTTTAACAAAATCTCTAATTCTAAAATTCCTTGTAAATTGGCAACCCTCGTTACATTTATCAACTTTAAATAGATTTTATTTAAATAAAATGTAAAAGTTAATTAATTTATTTCTTTTTTATTGCTTATTGGAAATAATCGTACGTACATTTTAAAATTCTGCTTGCAATACTAAATCATATTATATATTATTTGCTATTGTTGCTATTTTTATCCCGTTAATTATATTATTCTGGGCACGTATTATAAACTAGTTACTATAAATATTAATATGCAGATCATAGTATTAAAACTCTACACCACACTATAATTGTATTGTAAATCTAATTTTGAGTTTTGAAATGTGACAAAGTTAAATTTATAAACGGACTATTAAATTAATTACTTATAACCAAGGTGAATGAATTTAGACACTGCTTTAAAAAATTGTTGCCTCTATTATTACGAAGTAATATTAAATTGTTAAGTTGTAAATATTACCAAATGTATAGAGCAAGTAAATATGAAACTAATGATACCGTTAAGCTATTTGTTATATTAAGCCTTATGATAATGATTTGAGCTTATACCTAGGCTGCCTTTTAAGTCGTGTCGTTTGCCAACCTCCCGCGATTATTAAAAAAAAAAAAAGCATATGGCATTTACATCTTTTTGAATTTAGAATTCGAAAACAAAAGAATGTTTTCAGATTGGTCGAATAGTTTTATTGTATCACAGGTGACAAGTTAGTTGTAAAAATCGAAATCTCTAAGGAAAATTTGCGTGCGATAATTTTCTACAACTATCACAGGGGATTATCGCGACTTCAGTGCTCTGAGGAAATCACTTCTGTGTACTGATGTAGCACCATGTCTTAGGACTATAGAACGATGGTATTTAGAATTTTAACGTGGGCACTCTAGCCTCAGTGACAAGCCACGTGAAGGTCGTCCAAAAACAGCCATGACGCAAGAGAATATTGAAGCCGTGCGGCAACTAATCCTCGAAGATCGTCATGTGACCTGCCGTGAGATAGAGGCATCCCTGGACATTTCAGGGATCACTGTCCAAAAAATCCTACACGAAGAACTTGGCGTAAGAAAGTTGATCTCTCGTTGTACCACATTTGCTTAGCGACGACCAAAAAATAGCCCGTGTTAGTTGGTGTCGCAAAACTCTGCAGCGATTCAACCGAGGAATGTCAAAGCATGTTTATGATATGGTTAGTGGCGACGAGTCTTGGATATATGCTTACGATCCAGATTCTAAGCAGCAGTCAACTGTTTGGGTCTTCCAGGATGAGCCAAAACCGACCAAAATCATTCGCTCACGGAGCAAAAAAAAAATGGTTGGCACAAACGTGGCTAAGGGTGGTCATGTCGCCACTATTGTACTAGAAGATTGCAAGACGGTTACCGCTGACTGGTATACAACTGTTTGTTTGCCACAAGTCGTCACCGAATTGCGAAAAAACAATTCAAGATATCATGACAATGCAAGTTCGCACACCGCCCGTCAAACAAAGATGTTTTTGAGCACCCAAAATGTCGAAATTTTGGATCATCTGCCTTACAGCCCTGACTTAAGCCCTAACGATTTTTTGCGTTCCCCAAAATTAAGAAAAGTCTTCGTGGTCAACGTTTCAGCTCACCCGAAGAAGCTGTTGACGCATACAAATCGGCCATTTTGACTACCCAACTTCGGAGTGGAATAAATGTTTTAAAAACTGGTTTGAACGTATGCAAAAGTGTATTAAATGTCACGGAGAATATTTTGAAAAACAATTAATGATAATGATATGTACGTACATTCACTTACAAATACATATACTCGACCACATTTGAACATGTATATAAGTAATAGAGTATGGTGCGTATTAGGCATACGTAGGTACATATTTTCTTAGGCAGTCGCCTAAAATAACTATTATTTTGAATAAGTATGATCCAATTATATAGTGTTCTATATGAACTTAAATGTTTTTGCATGTAGGCTGGCAAAACATTTAAGTGCGAGGAATTACGCAAGACACTAGTTGCAACATCTCATCATAGACAAAGCGATATAGGAGATGTATCTATTAGAGCAGTCCAAACACATTAGTGCTCAATACGGAGCCAGCTGAGAACATAATAGGATTTGCCGTCTTGTAAATCAATGTTCGTAGATTTAACGCGTTATCATCGAGCACCGATAGAATACAAAATTAAGGTTATTTATTACATGTATATGCTTGAAAAGCTATTCAAAGAACATGTACAAATTTAGTAAGTAATAACGTTATCATGTCACTATGAGTAATACTAATATAATTTTATTATGTATTAAAATAATATCATAAAACAAATACTACTAATATAACATGAAATAAACCACAAAAAGAAAAATAAATTAACTTTATACATAAGTTTATATATACAATATATATTTATGTTTATATCGTATATTATAAATTATATATCTAATATGTTATCAAATACTACTTAAAATTATTATGTATATGCTGCTACCGCATGTGAGATAATATTTATGTAGAATAGGGGAAAACAAAAAGGAATCAAATAAAATATATATATATCTAGTACTGAGTAGCCAGCCAATTATACATCCAAAAATAATATCGGGTTCCACAAAATATTATATCGGTTTCCGATGTTCCGATATACAACAGAAAAGAAATGAGATTAAAACGAAAAAGAATTTAATTATGAAATCTAAGACATATATAAGAGCGATCACGTACTTTCCATTTCTTTAATTAAAGCGGGAAGGCCAGTATGCAATAATAAACGTATTTATTACCACAAATTACGGTATGCCCTGTGAATAGTACGTTAAAGATGTTTTGTATTGCGTGTAGCTTTCTGGTTACATTGTTAAGAAACGAAAGTACGTAATCGTGCTGAAATTACCTGTAGTATTAGGTACAGTGTTAAAGGGAGAATTGTGTATGAGAGTGATAAACATATACGAAATAGTAAAAATTGTTAATTAAGATGTCACAGGTCATTTATGAATAAAATAAATGTTCACGGATTGAAACGCTGCATACTTTGAGCAACTTTAAACATTTTTTTTTACATTAGGGCGTCTTGAGACTTTTTGTATCCTTGTACGGGTAAGTCAGCCATAACCACGACTATCCTCAGGGATAAACTGGCTATTATCAGATAATTTCAGGATACGACAAAGAGCGTTTCCTTAGCCTACAACAATCAATATCTTATATACGGTATAATCAACTGGGATATTAGTATTTCCATGTAATAAAAATACAGTATTTCGCAATATTTCATTGTTTTAATAATCATAAATTTAAGTTCCTAATTGATATCTTACATACATGACTTTATTTTTAAATTGGGAAGATGCATATATCAATGTCGATAATATTTAAATATTTATTATTTCTGTAATATATGTACCTGTACAATTAACAATTGCAAAATTGAATTCCGTTAGCTCAATCCACGTTATAGCTCTGCGTCATCGCGACCACTTTCAAAGGCACTTTGTTTTTTCCTTTATAAAATTCATAATTTAGTCACATCCAGCATTACGTCTAAGACATCGATTAAGCATATTCTTAATAAATTTATATGATATTATAAAAATAGAATGAATGTCAAATTTAAGTTAAAAATAAAAGTAAAAATTCAATTCAGCCCTCCAGGGCTTGGCATTTTGTTCAGTATGTCGTACGTTTTCATGGCGTTTATGCTATATGCTTAGATGCAACATCCAAATAATATCACGTAATACATAACTGAAACATCACTGGTACGGACTATTTAGGAAATTGATATAAATTATTTATTTTAATTTAAAGGGCTACCTATAGCTACTAGTGGTTTTAATGTGAAGGTTGAAGTCGTTCCAAAGTTTAATGCTTGAATGGCAATAGATTGTTGGAAGGAGCCGGAACTGCGACTGTATTTGGAAATGGAATGGTAAATTCCCCATGGAAAATAAATTAGTTTCTAAGATATTCATGAGAATTAAGATCGTTCAGCATAAATCACAGCGTATCTACATTATATCAGAAGAAATCAACGGTGATGGATTAATAGCTGAGAATAAAAATAATGAATACATTTATGTTTGAATAAATAAGAGTAGTAACTAGTACTTTTTATAATAGACTTTACACCAAGTCATTTGAATTTGCATAGTCTTACTTATTACGATAGCTTTGTAAGTAGTATTTCAATTGTAGGGTGAGAAATGGCCGCGAAATTACAGGGCAGGGAGCCGTAAAAATTTAGTTCTCTGGAATGGATAATCTTGTCGTAACAAAATCTATAAAGAAGGTAATTGTGTTTTATACAATAATAAAAAATCTGAGTTCTACGAAGTGCCAATGATCATCAACATATTTTCAGTTACTAGAAAAATTTTAGTTCTGAAGTAGAAAGTTCTCTAGTCAGTATAGATTACGCAAAGTCGAGTGGTTTTGCGGCTGATACCCGTGATGTAAGTACTCCAACTGAGTGATATCGATCACTAAACTGAGTTTCTTTACATTATAGTTGAGAATAATATGTTATCTGTTGAAGAGAAATCCTCACACGTTTGAGTTAGTTTAGCTGCTGTTCGTTGTTTGCTAGAATTATTGTTGATACTTTAAGGATTAATAGTGATGTTAAACCTTTCGGATCAACCATACGAGATATATATATATTAATAATGATGATAATATATATATATATATATATATATATATATATATATATATATATATTTGAAGAGAATCAACTTAAGAATATAATTAAAGATTATTTGAGATTATCAATTGATAAAGAAAATGGGGGCTGAATCTGGGAGAGCAACAATGTCGTATCAATCTCATAAAGGTTTGACACACACCGTCTACAGACAACCACTAGACAGAAGGCAGACCAGTTGATTACTGAAGATGTAATCATTAGATAAAAAGGTTATTAAATATAGAAAGTCATGGTTACGATGTTATAAGCATTAGAAAATAAAATATCTAACAAATGGGTCTGTTCTATACCCTCCATCTCACCTTCTGTGATTTTTAAGAAGACTGTGATCATAATGTATTTGGTACAATAGTCATAGGGGCAAATATCTGATTGTTGATAATAAATAGAGACTAATTTTATACAACTTGTAGAATTCATATATTACGGTATATGTGTAAAAAGTCGCCTGATAAAATATTTATTTTTCCATCGCCCTCTCTAGGATTTCATCGAGTCACTATCATATTATATTTATTACTAGCTGTCCCGGCAAACGTTGTTTTGCCATATAAATTAAAGTCGCTATTGAAAGATAGTAGTTGATGCTAGAAGGGTGAAAATTTAGGGTTGTATGTATTTTTCAATCCTAAATAATAATAAAATGAAAATAAAATATATTTCGGGATGGATTGGATATCCTTTACCACTTAGGGGTATGAATAATAGATAGTAGCCGATTCTCAGACCTACTGAATATGCACATAAAATTTCATAAAAATCGATCAAGCCCTTTGGGATGAGTATGGTAACTAACATTCTGATACGAGAATTTTATATATAAAATATATAATAGAAACTTACTTACATTAAAAAAAGAAATATATAGACATTAAATTTCATTAGGGACATGCTCTACATATAACTCCGCTGTATTGTGAATATTATTCTATTTGCGTTCAGGTACAGATCGTCCCACGCCTTAAAGATTGAAAAGAAAGTATTTAAGATATTATTTTAAAGATAGCTATTTTTAACTAAAGGAAAATTTATGTTATTTTTAAGATTAGTTCTAAATTACGATTCATAGACAGTCGCCTATAAATATAGAAGTTTTCTAATGATGATAATGGTTTATTGTTATTTAAATTTATATTTATTATATTAAATAATAATAAATAGTATTTTTGTGTAGTTTACTTATTTTTATAATAAATTGTCCTAAAAAAATCTTATTACTATTGACGTGCTATTCTGTAACGAGATTTGTTACATTTGTGAATAAAATAATATGAACATGAATAAATACAAATAGTTATAATAGATAATTTAAACATCCTATATAATATAACAGCGCGATTAGCTGCCGACTATGCTGTAAATTCTGACGTTCGTAACAGGTACAGATACCTACCCTCAATTATTTAATATATCACCTTAATTGAGCTCTACACATTGTTAAAAAGCATATTATATATTCTGTATATAATGTTTGTTTATATTAAATATATTTGTGTATTGTTCAACATTTTACATACATATATGTACGGCCTTGTGAGCGCATAAAGCTATCCTGCTTTTCAGCACACAGTAACATTTGAATTGTAAATATTTTTATTTTCATCATCATTACGTATTGTTATTGCAATATTCAATATAGTTTCCTTAAGGACCTAATTTCACTAAAGTAGTTTCAGAACAAGTGAAAGGAGTGTTGGTTATATATCACAATGGATAGACGAAGATTTATTTAATACATGGAATTTTTAACAAAATTAATACATTATAATTTATTATGTATTATTTTAGCGTAGTTCATTAGGCTTAGGTCCTTTTTATATGGCGCGTTTTAATGAGAACCAGGCTAGGCACATATTTAGAAAACGGTTGGTTTTCATTCAGTCTAACACAAATCCTACCACCACTCTCGTTTGAGTGTGTGGTAGGCTATGTATTATGTATTTAGTATATATGACCTTTCGTGCATCACTGTGTGTTAAGCGCCACAGGAAAATAATATTTCAAAATTTCATTAATAGTAATGTAAAAAATAATAAACAACATTTGCATTTAGATCACATATCCATCATTCGGTAGCCCTAAAGGCTCCACGGATGTTTAGATTTATTGGTAGACATTATATACTCGATGACCAAATAAATAATATTTTGTGTTGGTATTCACTTTATATTCGTCCATAATATAAACAATTCATTATGTTTTCTAATACAAATATACTACATAAATAGTGAAAAAACTTCCTGGACATAATATTTGTATTACTTGTATTTATCCTTAGCTATATATTTCTCGTACAAGTACTTCAGGACGATCTGTTTCTGAAGGTTAAGAAAACTAAGTACGAGCGAACATACATATGTATATTTATGTCGCGAATGTAGGTTTCAAGATTCAGTGACTAGGGAAGAAAATTCTTGAGAGCTAAAATGTAAGCATGTGAATGTACATAGAAATTCATTCATAGATTCCTACAAAAGATGTAGTCGCGATATTAAATTTTACCCTAGCGTTACTCCATGTCCTCTTCTATGTTTAAGATTAAAATATATAAATATACAGCATGTATATCACATCGTCATGTGACGCCTTTGGTACCACTAATGCGTTGCTATTACTGAGGACTGAACTGCCTCCTTACCCTGTAATTTTACTACCATATCTCACCCTTATAAACACATTTTGATGTTAGTATATTTGTTACTTAATTACACATGTTTAGACGAATAAGAGCATAAATATTGTAGATGTTACTTTTAGATGTATATGCAATTTATTATAAAATATTTTGTAACAGTAAAAGACGTGAAAGTGTTTACGTAAATTAGTCTAGCAGTAATTCCGCTTAATTTACTTGCCATATAATATATTACGCTATTAAAACAATCAAAGTTTCCCCGAGGTAGATATACCTCAAAAGCGGCAATTTCCCGTTCATTAGCTTCATACATCTAATACACAACACGTATATATCTGTTAATTTTCTCCCTCTAAGTTGGAATATATAAGCCGTTAACTACATACTGTCTAATATTATACAAATTAATGACCGACATACACACCGCCTTTTGTTTACCCACTTTATATGTTTGAGTTATTATAGAGTATATTTTATAAATAAATTTAATTCAGTCCAGTTATGTAAGCGTGATTAAGTAACACACATATTTACAATCATTTAATTTTTGTAGCATATAACAATATTTATATCATTTTTGTAAAAACAGCAAAAGTAAATATGTTATAAAACTTACCGAAGAAACAACAACAGAAGACAATTGTGTATAAAGTAATAAAAATAGCACGAACATCTGTTCTATCAAATATAAATTCTTCATCGTTAAAACTTTTGTTAGTCCTCGTTACGTTCACGTTTTCTACAATAGGCTCTGTGCTATTTATGATTTCTATGATATTATTGGGTCTAATATTGGAAGCAATTAAGGGACTCATAGCATACATATTATCGTCGATTTGGTCACGTTTAGTGGCCATACACAATTTTACCGCTCTTGTTTGCGGTTGCTGGCAATGTTGCCTGCCATTTTCTGAAACAAAGTAAAATGTTTAATTATTCTATTGAAGAATTAGAAAACTTAGTCTTTTATTACATCATGATTTCTTTTAGAAAAATATATTTGCATCGAGATAAAACATATATATCCTTATCTGTCCAAAAGATCTCACACATTATTCCAACATGATGATTGGTTAAGTATGCACATATATACTTTTGTAATATTAGTTAGTAGTTATAAACATATACATATGTCAGAAATATTTGTAATAACTGAATTTCAAACGCTATATACGAATTAGCTAGAAAATGTATATTCACTCACAAAAAATATATGGATTGGCCTAACTAAAATTTTATATAAATAAATAAAAAAACTATTATTATCACCATCATCCAGTAATCTTAATCTTACATATACGTTAAACTTAACCTACAACATCGTAACTTAATTCATGGCCACAAGTTATATAGAGATCATAATGTATCGAGTTTATGTGGTGTCTGAAGTAGAAGTTCAGACAGCATCTAATCATTACGTCATAATAAATATTCCTGTAATTGAAAGCTAAATCCAGGCCCACGGTAATAATATATTTTTTTTCCTATAAATGACAATGAACAGTCATTTGTACGCTTTATGCAGACAAATTTAGGTTGATATATGGTTTTATGCCACTACGATCAATTAAGTATTAATTAATTATAATAGTTTTCACAGTAAATGTGTGGAGGTTGACAGTATATTAATAGCAAAAGGTCATAGGGCATCCAGTTCTCATAACTAATAATTCTCTTTTACTGTATTATTAAACAAAATTAGAAAACCGTAACTTTACAGAATTTAGTTCACATTACGCGTATCACACAGATGTCTTCAACTAGTTAGACCCTCACAATAGACTTCGTGAAAATAAGACCTGCATTGTTAATTTAGAAAGTTCAATCATTGAGAACATTATTATATAGTTAAATCTGTCAGATTTAACATATTTCTAATTTATTACTGAATTGTTATAATACATAAGTAAAAAATGTGTCCTTTACAGGACAATAAAGAAACTGGTAAATTAATTATAGTTAACATTAATTTGATTTTTAAAAGTATTTAAAATCAAATTCGCCACTGATGATCGTTTCTGATCGGTGGAAAGAAAATGTGTCATATTTCTTCAATTTTCTTAGTGTTACAACTGTCTTGTGGTTGAAATTATCTAATGATATGTCATTTTAAATCAGTATATTCAGGTGTGTTCAGTATTCAAACATTCATCTGTTGAATTATAGTGGATCTAAATGCAAATTCACCTTTTGGATAAAACGAAAGAAATTGATTTATCCAAAAGGTGACCGTATGATCCAAAATGTGATATAAAAATAGGAGACAGAAAGGAGAATAGTTGAAGCGGATTCTTAGAATTGTTAATCAACCGTGCTTAATAAATATTTTAAAAATGTATAAAGAGCCTTGACAGATCACTTAACGCACAGCGTACGCAACTAAACCTAGAATTCTGTAGAGTCATATATATCTTTATTACATAGTTATCCAATAAGAAAGAATTACCTAAATTTCCCACGGGAACCTAAATCTACTATATATCAGCTGCACAATTTCATCATCATTTACGTTCGCGTTTACGAGAATTCAATATGTAGGTATTACAATAAAAATATTTGTATGAGTTCCTTCAGAATCACGATAATACAAATTACACGAAAACATTTCTTTTGAATGTAAAAAAGTTAATTCAACTGAGATGACTATTTACTGAGTTTCCTCAACATATGATGGATGTACCTATAGCAACAAAGGATACGCATTACCAAAATAAGAGCTCGTATGCTATTTCATCTGAAGAATCTGTAAACAAATATTAAAAGCCTCAAAAAATACTTTCTACATTTTAGTGAAATATACATTTCTATGGCTGCGATATTTATTTTCTCAATACGATGAATAATATGATGAAAGTCTACCTAATAATAATATAACATTAATTGATATCTGTTCATTAAATTTTATTGAGGTATCAATGGCACATTTGTTACAAATTATAATTATCTTTGTGTGTGTTTAATAAGTTTTAGCTCGATTAATTGTGTACTTATTTTGATTAGTATACTTGTAGTCGATGTGCTTTTTGAAACAGTTATACATATAAAAATTGTGAAATTATATATTTAATACAAATTTATCCAACTTTTATTAGTCATTTAAATTTTACAATTCAAAGTCAAATACTATACCTGTAGGTATGTAATATATAAAATGAAAATAAACCGATTGATTAATTTAATCTACGATGTGCTATAAAAGAGCAAATATACCGCTACGAATATATAATGTTTATATGACATGTCGATGCGATTTCGATTTCATGCTGATTCGATTCCATTAAAAGTTAGTCTGCTAAATTGAATTTCAATTGATATTGGGATTAGATTCAGGAGTAGATTTGCAAGTAACTCTAATCTATATCTATACTAATATTATAAAGAGGAAAAATTTGTATTTTTGTATGTATGTTTGTATTCAATAGGCTCCGAAACTACTAAACCGATTTGAAAAATTCTTTCACCACTAGGAAGCTACACTATTCCTGAGTCATATAGGCTATATTATATTTCCAAAAAAATTAGGGATCCGTACTAAAACTTTAATAATGTAACCCAAGGTATACAAATATTACATAAAAAATACCTAACACCGCGTGCGCAGCAAAAATATTGATGATAGAACAAAATGATTTTTATATTCTAGGGTAATTGTGTCACCTAGGAATGATACTCTCAATGAAATAAACTAAAATTACAAATCAACCGACACCGTAGCTAATATCGAAGACGCAGTTCAGTTAAAAAACTATAAATAAAAATTAGTCTATTTAATTAGGTAGGATCAGATAAAAATGTAAAATGTAGTAAAAATGTCGAAGAGGGATCTGGTGTGAAGATATTTTTCTAATACCATATTGTCAAATAAAAGTCTAATCTAAAAATCTTCATAAAGCTACTCGTACATTTCGGTAATTCTCGTGTTATGTATTACGAAGTATACATAAATGTGCTTAACATATAAAAAAAAATAATCTAATTAAAAATCACCTTCTCGAAGTCAGTTAAAACTGACTCCTACACTAAGTTTTCCTTTGGTATTTTTGTTTTTGTTATCAACGTAATTTAATTAGCAACATCAATGGGTATTGAAAAGTAATTTAATTAACAACGTCACTCAATGAGTATTGGAAATTAGTAACTTTGTAACTGAAAGGACATAGATAAGAACAAAATTAATATTCAGTAACACTATATTATTAACCACAGTCACAACACAGATAATGCCGACTGTTAATCTTTAACATGGCACACTTTACAAGTGATAATAATAAAAATAAATTACTCTGGACAATTAACACAGCGCCACCAAGTCTCGTGGTAAGCAGAGCTTGTCTTATGGGTACTAGACAACTAATATAAATACATAGATATCTATTTTTGTAAATACATTTAAAATATTAAATATTTTTGTATATACATAGAAAACACCCAGACTGAAGCAAACAATAAAACTCATGTAAACAAATATATGCACACCATGCGAGGAATTGAACCCGCGACCATTGGAAGTAAAGCGGTGTGCTTAGCCGCTGGACCACGCAGGACGTCTAATAATGATAAACAAATAAAATAAAATGCATCCAATGACGTATTCCACCGTTTATCTGTTGTCAGAAATGATATATTGTTCCGATAACTGCAGAATTATTGCGTTGATATTAGATAAAAACTAGATGACATCCCTAATTCTGAATACTTAAATATTTACCTACTAGTGGCTAGACCCGCAATCCTCCGAGCTGTATGACTACATAATAACGGCCTTATCCGTGTGGAAGAATGTAGGGCTCCATTCAAATAGTAATGGAATTTTTTGTGTACACACATGTAGCGCTGCTTATTTTTTAATTGGTCATAATGGAATTACACATCCACGTCTCCATCCCTTACACTAAGCATAAACAACTGTTTATGCTGAACGTTACGGGCCACCAGTGGTGGATATCAAATTCGCTAGGCGGAACCGCGTGGAGATGAAACTGACTAATAATTCCATTGCTAGCAATGAATGGTGCACTGCCATTAGTCTTTGTCTTATTAGTCAATATTAAGAATTATACTCCTTTCTCCTACTGTTGAATTTAGAATTTTCTCTTTTTGGCACTTGATTGAAAGTAAAAGATTATTTCCTTGAACCTATTATATTATTTCACAGTAACATTATTATTAAATATATATAGAAATGATAAGATTATGTAAATATAGGTCAGAAATTTCAGAATTTATAAACAGCAGCATATTACTAATGCAGGTCAACATAAAGTATGTACTCATATTTGTAGAATGTAAACATCTGCATAAAGACAGATCCGTGCAAACCGCAGTAGGCAAGTTATTTTATGTTTCACAAAGGTGGCTGTATCCACAAACAAACACCATGAGAGCTACCGTATGTAGTCTGCCTGCTCCAGCTTCACTATCTATTAATTATACGAATTGCTTTAATTTAAATAGATATTAGGTGTATACTAGTAGGCATAAAATTAATTTAATATTACGTTATAATATAGTACAGAGAAATACGAAAGAAATACTTATTTCAGTTTGTTCTTTAGAAAACTAGTAAATATGTATAAGTTAAACGAGCATGAAAAATGTATGGTATGTAATTTGTTTTTAATTTTGATTATTTTATACTGAATGAGACGATTTGCATTTATTATAGAAATAAAAAAATGTAATCTAATTACATATGTAAGAATTATTGTGAACAATGAAAATTTCTTGCTTATCAGTTCATATATTTAAGAACGAGTTGAGGTAGATAATATTTTTGGAGTTGATAAATAAGGAAAAAGGATTAGGGCCAGTTAAAGCAGATCGTCATTGAGATTTGTGCATATACATACGTTGGCGTAATCGAACACCGGTGTAATTGAACAAGCAAGTTCTTAGTAAGAAAGTTTGCTT